TTTTTACCGTACCTCCCATTTCCATCTTCCTTCCTCATACCGATCGCGCTATTACCGTCCATAGAAACACTATCACGATATTATATTCAATGATCAAGATAAATCTATAATCATATACGAGACATCGCATACAATACAACTGTACTCACTATCTACACTACCATTAACTTTTACACACTCAATTCTTTCAAAAGAAAATAAAATTTTTATCCTGTTATTCTATACACTAGGTTCGGACGCCAGCAACCTCGATCCCGACTCCGTTCCTACATCATCTGTAAATAGTAAATAGTGAGTTCATATGACTCAGTATAGTAAAAAAAATTAAATTACATGTGTGATATGCAACAATATAAAACCCCATACTTCTACCAACAATCCATTACTTAACCCAAGCCCCCCCGGTATCCCAACAAGGGTTACCATTCCCCAACGTCGTCCCAGGCACGCCAGCGTTGTCACCCACCACCAAAATCGGCGACCCCCATACGCCTCTCGACCCCTACTACGCCACGCACACACACCATTTTCATTCACTATCGTCACCAACATCGGAGACTATCATCCACCTACCGATCCCTATTGGGCCACACACACACACACACTGATCATTCTCTTCCATCACCAACATCGGCAACCATTAGCCACCTCTCGACCACTAATGGGCCACAAACACGCACAGTTACCATTTTCTCCCGTCACCAACATCGGCGACTATTAGCTACCTCTCGACCACTAATGGGCCACACACGCACACAGTTACCATTCTCTCCCGTCACCAACATCGGCAACCATTAGTTATCTCTCAGCCACTAATGGGCCACACACGCACACAGTTACCATTTTCTCCCGTCACCAACATCGGCGACCATTAGCTATCTCTCGGCCACTAATGGGCCACACACGCACACAGAAAAAATCATAATTAACTTATTTGACAAATTTATTTTTAAATCTTAATTATTTAATATGTAAACTTAATCATAATTAACTTATTTGACAAATTTATTTTTATGTACAATCGTATACTTATATTTTTATATATTAGTGAATGATTTATGATAATATGTAACTTGAATTATAACATTATTTTATTTTGTTTTTATTATTTTTTAATTTTTTATTATGTACGGTTGAAATTTAAATTGATCTCATTTATTTTATTTTAATTAATTTTTTTATATATTTTTGAATCAGGTTCACACAGAAAAAATACCCTCACTAACATGGCAACGACGTTTGAATACTAACGAACAGATATCATCCGAATTCAAATTAAATTTTAAAGAAACGATGCATTTGGTATGTATAATAAATATGTTTCAAATAATTATCATCACTATATAAAATATGTATAAAATTACATGTTTATATATAATTAATTTATTTTTTATATGTTAAAAATTGACAAAAATAATTTTTGATTCTTTTTTTTTGTTTGTTTTAAAAAAGTTTCCAATAGGTTGTAGGCTTTGGCGACACACTAAAGAAGAAGCAACGAAAGGAAGAGTATGTAACGTATTTCTTACCATATATAATAATAATTTGGAGTCAAAATTTAAATATAAGTAAAATTTACATAATATGATTGATTTGCAGGTGTCTATATTTGATATTTTTGGAAAGCATATAATTGCCGGTGATCGTGGTGTACCTCTAGGAGGAATCGGGTAGGTTAATGTATATTAAGTATAAGATAATACATATTTATTATTGTATTATATAACAGTTGAATTTTTAATATATACTTTTGTAAGAGTGAAAAAAATATTATGTAAAAGTAAGATGTATTATTTGATAACTAAGTTAAACCTCCTCGGACCGGCTTGGGCAATCCAATTGGATCGGGTTGAGCCCGACTTGTTCGGCACAGTGAACTACCCGAAATACAAAATTGGCTTACTTGACCCAACTAATTGGCCCGGTTCATTTCTCCGAATAAGCAAATGTATATAAACCCTATGTTCTCTCTCTCTTTTTTTTTTTTTCCCCATTGTTTTACCCAAGCTCTTCCGGCGGGAAGCGACGGATTTTGAAATCCTTGGCTAAGGAATGATTTCCTTGTGAGCTGCGAAGTATACAGTTAAAACATTCTTCTGCTGGTTGCAGCAGGTGTATAGAAATCAGAAATTCGTATAATCACGTCCAAATGGAAAGTAAACGAATAAACAGCGAAAAGCTGTCGTTCTGTATTTCCTGCGATCCCACTTGCACGGAGTCATTATTTCTCACACGTGTTCTCGCGAATGGGCGCTCATGTGAGGGTGGCTCGAGGAGGTGGGAAGGAATTGAGCCAGGGCTCAAGAATTCAGGTTACCTGCACTGTGCTTGATCGTCATAAGTTAGTAACACGAGGAGATGTAAAAAATGGCTGACGCGTGCGTGGAAATGCATGTCCACAAACCCTAGTCTATGCGAGCATAGTCTCTTTCGTGAGGATCGAATTCACAGCGTAGCACAACCGTGAACCATAATGTCTCTCTCAATCTTATGTTTGAAGCATTAATTTTAGTGCAGGAAGCATCGGAAGAAGTTACAAGGGTGAATTTCAACAATTTAGGCTGTTCCCCGGAATTTGTGAAGACGGATCAGTTCCGGCAAACCAGTTTTCTGTAAGTTTACGTCTTATTATCAAATTTAGATAATCTGTTTTCTTCTAGTTTTGTTTGCAACTGTAAGCTATTGGATTAGGCACCAAGTTAATGTTCTTTTGTGCTAGTTGATTGATAATATCAACATGAATTGCCATTAGCTTTTCCATTTTTGTTCTTTTCCTAAGTGGTGTTTGAGAGTTTTTACTTGGTAGCAATCCCTTGCCCGTTGGTCTTATATATGCTACTTTAACTTGTTATTAGAGCTTGCTGAAACGCATTAATGTATGAATAGTTGATTGCAACCAATTAAATTCAAGCCAAAAGGAAGGGGCCAAATCAGCTATTTATGCATTTTTACAGTTCGCATATCAGTCAAGGTACTTCCAAGGACACATTAAAAGTAATGACATGTAAAAGAATCAAATATATCACTAGGAAACAGGAAGTCTCTGGCTTCTACTCACAAACCCTGTCAAGGAATTTCCTCCAATGTCAAATTAAATGCAAAAATCCTTTTACATTTTAGAACTGTATTGATTGAGGCAAACAATCAATCAAATATTGATTGATATTGCAGAAGTTACATTTTAGAACTGTAACTTGCCGAGAAGATTAATATTGCAGAAGTTAGCTCAGTTTCTCAGTATCTCCTGGGTTGTTCGTGGAGAGAAATCTACGAACTAGTTATAATTTCAATATAATGGTTCCCTAGGGTTCATGTCCATCTCCTTTGGCTGCTGAAGCAAAGAGCTTTGAAAAAGTGTATTTCAATAATATGATGCCTAAACCTGGAGAGCTGCACCTTTGAGTTTGATTCCTGGTTCCTTTTCATATGATTGTTAGATAAATTTACTATGCCACGGGAGTCAAAGTTTTCTGCCAGAGATAATTACAGAATTATAAACTACAAGCTTCAGATTCTTAAAAGGGAGAAAGTAGGGCTGCAATTAGTGTAGTAAAGTTGCTAAGAATAGGATCCTACCTTCCTAATTGGGCATCTCTATCTATCATTTGTTTCTCTCTTTTTAAAGATGCTCCTTAAAATGAAAATGCACACAAGCTGGAAGTAGTTAAAATGAAAATGCACACAGAAACACGAAAGAGCTTATCGCGTTACATACATTTTTGTTGGTTTTTTCTTTTTTTTTTTTTCAATTTTTAAGATGTCTTTGGATACCCCTTTTTAAACACGTGCAGGTTTTTGTTTCACGACCAACTGGTGAAAAGTTTTCAACTGTGCTATGCCAAAAGAGCCCAGAAGTGCCAAAGTAAGCTATCATACTTTTGAGGCTTTTTAAGACTAGCAAAGTTACGGTTCCATAGTGAATATTTTAGGAGTAAGATTGATGATTCAGGATTATTTTCCTTATTCAGGGAAAGCACAGGTTCTGGCCTAGAATCCTGGGACTGGAATCTTACTGGAGAGAAGTGTACATACCATGCTTTGTTTCCAAGGGCTTGGACTGTCTACGATGGTATTGGATCTAATTACTGAGGCTGTTAAAGATGTTGTGTTAGTGAAAGTTCCTTATTCTTTTACTCTTTTATGCAAAAATAGGTGAACCTGACCCAGAACTTAAAATTGTATCCTGTCAAATTTCGCCCTTTATTCCCCACAACTACAAAGAAAGTAGTTTTCCAGTATCAGTGTTTACATTTACGGTAAGGATTTAGGGAGAAACTGAACACAATTTTTTTACCTCTTTGTTTTTGGACCTAAACATCGGGTGTTTTTCTTTCAGCTATCTAATCATGGAAGAACATCTGCAGATGTCACCTTGCTCTTTACATGGGCAGTAAGTTTAAAGATTTGAATATTTATTCTTTCAGTTTGTCATGGATAATTTTCTCTATGATCATCTAGGTGGTTTCTTTTTTCTTTTACTGGAAATCCATAATGAAGGATTAGGAATTTCGCCAAAGTCATGCTAGGGTTTTAAATTTTAAGCAAGCAATTAGATGCCTTAATGGATGGTTCCTTTTTTACAATCTTGGTGATAATGACTGCTATCAATGTTATATGCTGGAATTTCAGTCCGTTTGAAAAGAATTTGCTTGAAGATTTACTTCATGTGAAATTATAATTTTTTTGGTTCTCATTCTTGTTTTTTTTCCCCAAAATTATTCAAGCCATTTGGATTTTCAAGAGTCATACCTGATATGTGCATGCGTGCATAGAGAGCGGGAGATGAAGAGAAAAAAAGACTTTGTGGTTTGTAGTTGTGTATCAAACATGTATGGCATTGCTGACATGGGTTTGTCTAACCTATATGTTTGTGATTGTTCAGAATTCTGTGGGTGGAGATTCTGGATTTTCTGGCCATCACTTCAACTCAAAGATGACGTAAGGATATAACTGGAATTGGATGTCTAAACTTTAAGTTTTGTAGTATTTGTATCTTTTGTTGTGGTCTTTCTACTGCCAGTGGGCACAATATTCATTTGGATATGCAGTTATAAACAATTTTGATTTGCTGATGTTTTAACTTCCACCGGGTTTTTATTTGGTTACCAATTGCTTCCCAGGAAGAAAAATGGAGTACGTGGGGTAAATTTACACCATCAGTAAGTTACTTGCACAGGCTTTAAAATCACTTATAGTTCTTAGCTAAAATATCTCCTCCATGCATTTGATTTGCAGTATTGCTGTTACATTCTAACTCGAAGTACCATTAATTCAGAACAGCCAATGGAAAACCTCCAGTTACTTTTTCCATTGCAGCAAAGGAAACAGGTGACGTCCTTGTTTCTGAGTGTCCTTGCTTCTTAATATCTGGTAATGCCCGAGGAATTACAGCTAAAGATATGTGGCATGAAATTAAAAAGGTTAGCTCTTAATCTCCTCCATATTTTCATGTCTATGATATACAATATAATACGCCTAAAATGGGTACCTCCAATTTACGAACTTTTTATTAGAAAAAGAACAAAAATTAGAGAGAGATGAGAGGTACATCAGTAGAGGACTAGAGATTCCCTCCCAAACAAAGGAAACTAAAAAGAGAAAAAGAGAGAACAAAATTCAATGCAAACTGCAACTCAATCTCTTTGCAAAACAGCAGAGAATATCCCTCTAAATCCTATGTGCTGTACTCAGAACGGGGCCAAAAAGTTTCTATTCCAAAGAAGCAAAGGAGGGTAAAAATAGTCTTTAAAAGCCTTATTTCTCCCCAATGACAGCAACGACAACCTAACAAAAAGAGCCAATCTCCAAAACAATCTTTCCTCCTCATTCTTCCAGAGTCAAGGAAAAAGAAAGAGATAAAGCATTTAAAGGTAATAGGAGATACCCATTTAACATGAAAAAATATCCACCAACCTAACCCAAAATCTCCAGGCTGCATCAGAATGCAAAAAGCTCTGCCTTATGATAACACGTTGCACACATATTGAAGGAGAGAACACGATTTGTTGGTCCTATCAAACATGGAGCAAATTGTTTGTGTTGAGCTTGTTAACAACAATTGTCCAGATAAAAACTTGTACCTTAGAGGGAGCAGTTACCTTCTAGAAATTGTTGGCAATAGCCACATTGTTTTGGGAGGACTGGAAGGTCCATGTACAAAATATGTATCAACAATCTATTTGCAACTCAAAATATTTACTGTATACACACGGTCATCTTCTTCAAAGAGTTTGTAATCATTCGTCCAAAAAGATATGTTCCTTGAGCATGAAATCACGCTCTTTGGAAAGCAGATTCGACACCTTGAAATGCTCAAATTTCTTTCTCTGTTTAGCTCCAGCTGCGTATACCAAGCCTTATCTCATTAGAAATTTATAGTTTTGATGTTGAAATCAGTTCTCGAACTTCTTTATATATATATATATATATATTTTAACTTCTAAGGCATACATGCAAAGAATATTTTTCTAATTGATTGAAAAAATACTTAGTTCAATTATGCAAATGTAGCAATTTCAGTATATGTCTTATATCCTTCTAAAGGGCATTAATCATTGCAAGAGTCTCCATTTTAGACGGGAAGTGTTTGTCTCTAGTATGGAACCCCTATCAATTCTCCTATATAAGTGAGAGGGATTTTCTACGAGTTAAAAACATGCTGTTATATAATGTTGTTGACCATAGCAAATTTTACAATATGAGAATAAGAGTTATGATCAGATTATCCATTAACTGAAATCCCCCATGGGTTAGTATTTGCTTTTGCATTATGGTAACATAATACTTGACAAAGAACTCAACTGCTTTCTTTTTATTTTCTCAGCATGGCTCATTTGACCAACTTGAATGCAATGAAATTTCTTCACCTTCAGAACCAGGCTTATCTATTGGAGCAGGTGTAGCAGCCTCCGTGACTGTTCCCTCTAGTTCTGTCCGTACGGTCACATTTTCACTGTCATGGGACTGCCCAGAAGTGAGATTTTGTGAGAAAGTTTATCACAGGTGGGTTGTCCAAGCTCCCCAACAGTTTCTCTGCAAATATTGTCTCAAGTTTTAAAAGGTTGTGAACAAATATTCTAATGGCAGGCGTTATACGAGATTCTATGGTATTTTAGGGAATGCAGCGGCGAGTATTGCAAATGATGCTATTCTTGGTATAGTTGTACATTTTTCTTATGACCTTGTATATATATAGCATTTCACTGTGTGATGCTGTTGTAGATGGAGAACTATAATACAAAAAATAGAGATAGAAATTGAACTATAATACAATGTTCGCAATCTGATGTGGATGCATGTTTTCAATAGTGCACTTTAGTTATGTTGATGGTTGAGTATAATACTCTATTAACTCCTTTCTTTGTGATCTAATCATTTTGGAATTAAGGGTATGCTCATTGGGAATCCCAGATAGAAGCATGGCAAAGACAGACTCTTGAAGATAAAAGGCTACCTGAGTGGTGAGATTATTAATTTTCTGCTTACAATGCACACAAGATCTTCCATTGTGATGAGTAATGTACCACGAAAATAAGACAAACTGTGTGTTGAAGAACTTCTGGAAGTTACTAATTTTGTGCAGGTATCCGGTTACACTCTTCAATGAGCTTTACTACCTAAATGCAGGCGGGACAATATGGACAGGTATCAAGAAGTTTAAGCTTTTAATGGTAACTAGCCATCTTTTTCATTTTAATTACTCGAGGTTACACCTTAATTTCCACAGATGGATTACCTCCAAAAAAAAGTTTAGTAACCATTGATGAAAGGAAATTTTCCCTTGGAAAACCATTGTCAAATTTGACTAATACAAGGACAGAGGTTGCTCATCAAAATGACATAGCTGTTGAAATTCTTGAAAGGATGACAACTGTATATGAACAGATACATGCTCCTGTAATGTCAACTGCTGCTTTTGGAACTTCTTTGCTCCAAAATGGAGAAGAAAATATTGGTCAATTTCTCTACCTTGAAGGAACTCAATACATAATGTGGAACACTTACGATGTCCATTTCTACTCATCTTTTGCACTGCTCATGCTCTTCCCAAAGCTTGAACTCAGCATCCAGAGAGACTTTGCTGCAGCAGTATTGATCCATGATCCAGAGAGGAGGAAAATCATGAGTGATGGAAAGTGGGTTCCCCGAAAAGTTATTGGCGCTGTTCCCCATGATATTGGACTAAATGATCCTTGGTCTGAAGTAAATGCTTATAACTTGTTTAATTCAGACAAATGGAAAGACCTAAATTCAAAATTTGTTCTCCAAGTATACAGGGATGTGGTTGCTACTGGTGATAAGAATTTCGCAAAAGCAGTTTGGCCTTCTGTTTATACTGCGATAGCTTACATGGATCAGTTTGATAAAGATGGGGATGGAATGATTGAGAATGAAGGGTTTCCTGATCAAACTTATGATGCTTGGTGTGTTACTGGTGTGAGTGCATATTGTGGTGGACTTTGGGTTGCAGCCCTCCAAGCTGCTTCGGCCTTGGCATATGAGGTTGGTGACAATGCAGCTGCAAATTACTTCCAGATCAAGTATCAAAAAGCAAGAGTTGTATATGGCACATTGTGGAATGGTTCCTATTTCAACTATGACAACAGCGGTGGTGGTTCGAGTGCATCCATTCAGGCTGATCAGTTGGCTGGACAGTGGTAAGCTCACACTTACTTTGTCTTATGTTGGAGAACTTTCAGTGTGTCAACAACTACATAAATTCACATGAGATATGATACTGAGTTTGGTTAGTGTTTCTTCCTATTATTCCTAATGCCAAGTAGTAGAATGTTAGATTTACAGTTTTAACTCCTTGCATCAAGGCTCTTAGAGAGTGTTGATCAGATATCTATACACTTCAAAAGCAATTTTGGGATGTTCACATTTTTTTTGGATAGAGAACAAATAGTATTAACAGAAAGTAGAGAAGAAGGTGCAGACAGAGGATGAGAAATCCTCCTAAGTCAACAATAAACAGTAGATAAAATCAAAGACAGGACATTTATTCACATTATATGCAGTTAACCACAAGAATCTTTCTTTTATTTTCCCAGTTTAAGAATAAAAATTCTTTCTTGAATACATACATATTGTCCATGTTGCAAGGATCATTCATCTTCTTCATCACATCTTGAGTGCATCTTTCACATCCTTGCTAAATTCTTTTATTTGGCATTAACCATTTTTCATCTATTAACATTTATAATTTTGTGCTCCATTACTTTCTGTTGCATTATCATGCCCTTATTTTGCTTCTTTTCTGCTACTGCTGTGCTAGGATGGCATTCTCTCTTACCTCTATTTTTCTCAGTCTAGAACTCTTTCAGACAGTTCACTTGTTTTCTGCCTTTCTTTGCATGGTATGTGTTCTTTTTCTACAGGTTTTAATATGGAAATCATGTCTTTCATGGAAGGATCTTTTTCATTGGTAGCACTGTCTTCATGACATTCTCTTTTCCTTCTTGAAAGGGAAGAGGCTGATCTTCATAGTAATATGCTGCTAAGTTTGTCTGGCTGTTCCCTTGACATTCATGTCTGTTGAATAGGGATGCATTTTCTGCTGAAATAGTTCATATTCGTTCTCTGCACTTATTTTCTAATTTTGCTTTCAGTTAATGTGAATCATTATGGATGCTTGGTAAAAATTCTTTTTACATAAAAATGGGGATACTAGAGCTGATACTGCTCCAGAAAAAAGCAGGGTTTGAGAAAACTAATTCACATCTCAGGACCTGCACAGTTGGCATAATGCTTGGTTAAATTTTGTTTATTTGCATTCCTCTTGAAGTAGTAATGAGAATAGGCCACTGTTCATTTTTCAGTTTTCCAGAAAAGCAGTGTTCTTTTTCTACAGGTTTTAATATGGAAATCATGTCTTTCATGGAAGGATCTTTTTCATTGGTAGCACTGTCTTCATGACATTCTCTTTTCCTTCTTGAAAGGGAAGAGGCTGATCTTCATAGTAATATGCTGCTAAGTTTGTCTGGCTGTTCCCTTGACATTCATGTCTGTTGAATAGGGATGCATTTTCTGCTGAAATAGTTCATATTCGTTCTCTGCACTTATTTTCTAATTTTGCTTTCAGTTAATGTGAATCATTATGGATGCTTGGTAAAAATTCTTTTTACATAAAAATGGGGATACTAGAGCTGATACTGCTCCAGAAAAAAGCAGGGTTTGAGAAAACTAATTCACATCTCAGGACCTGCACAGTTGGCATAATGCTTGGTTAAATTTTGTTTATTTGCATTCCTCTTGAAGTAGTAATGAGAATAGGCCACTGTTCATTTTTCAGTTTTCCAGAAAAGCAGTGTTCAGAATGTTCAGTTGCTGGAAAACTTCATGTAGTGTGAAGTACTGATTCCTATTTATTGTTGAAAACATTACTACCGCCACATTTTTGCTATATAATTTAGCTGGAAATTCTGCCATAATCATATCTTTATTCAAACAATTTTGGTATTGTTTATGTGCACACGGACTTACCATTGAGTTAATATTACAGGTATGCTAGAGCATGTGGTCTAATGCCAATAGCTGATGAAGACAAAGTAAGGAGTGCACTTGACAAGATATATCATTTCAATGTCTTGAAAGTGAAAGGAGGAACGCGTGGGGCAGTGAATGGAATGTTACCAGATGGAAGGATTGATATGGCAGCAATGCAATCAAGGGAAATATGGGCTGGAGTCACATATGCCCTTGCTGCTTCTATGATTCAAGAGGAGATGGTGGAAATGGGATTAAATACCGCTAAGGGAGTCTATGAAGCTGCTTGGTCAGAGGAAGGTCTTGGGTAAGTAAAAACTCTCTGTTAATTGCAGAAAATACATGAAAGCTCCGAACTTTTAGTATAATTAAAATTGGTTTCATTATTTCTCGAAAATTATAACTTTGCATGATAAATAAAATTTTGAATTCCGGCGCAATCTCTAAACAGATAATAAATAATTGTTAAATCATCTGGGACATAGAGTCAAATAATTAAAAAGCAACATGTAACAAGTAATTGTGTATAAAGAACACCAAAAAAAAGATAAAGAGTTTAAATTTATATGGTAACAAAGAAATAATGGTGAATTTGTGAGAAGATTGAAATTCTTCACTGGAATGTACCATGTTAATAAGTATTAAAAATATATTTTTAATTTATGAAAGGAGTAGGTTATAATCTTCAACAAGTAATAATCAAATTGTAATTACAATCAAATATCTAAGAGCTTTATGTAACTTGCCTTTCTTTTTATGGTGTGTTTTAGATTACATTTAAAATTTGTCTGAAATATGTTTGTAAATTCACACTTGAACTAGAAAACAATGAGAGTTTACACTAAAAATGATGAAATTTTGAGTTTATATGGAATTTGTATAAAATTTGTTGTTCCATTTCCAGCAAAAGTTCCAAATATAACTAATTTTTGTCATCCTACTATAATTCATACATTCTCCTAATTAAATTAGATGTTCTTATGCGAATGAATTTCACTCTATTTCTGAATTTGTTCTAAGCATAACTTTATTTTGTATACTTAAAAATATTCTCTTTTAGGTTGTTTCTAGCAATATCTATACTAATTCCATCAAAAGGGTGAATGGGTTTGATTTACAGATATCACAAGGAATAAGGGTTCTTGAAATCACCATGCCTCTGTTCAAGTTTATTATGGCATTTTGTAGTTAATCAATAACTATATGTAATGATCATTTAAATATTTTTAAGTAATTTTAGTGATTACTACATAGAACTACTGAATTACTATAAAATGTTAAAAAGTTATATAAGACTTGATCCTTTTAAGGCATCATAGATGTTATCCATAAAGAAATATATTTGTCTGTTCTTTAGCTTCAGTTTTATTGTTATATTTTATCCGTGTGAAGAAGGAAGAAGAAACATTTTATTTTCATTTGACTAATTATAACTGATTTTATGTTCAGATACTCTTTTCAGACTCCAGAAGGTTGGAACACAGATGATCAATACAGATCCCTTTGTTACATGCGGCCACTGGCCATATGGGCAATGCAGTGGGCCTTAACAAAGCCAAAACTCTCTGTCAAGGAGGGGAAACCTGAATCAAGTGAAAACTCTTTATATCTGAGTCAGTATGCCGGATTTTCAAAAGTTGCTCACTTGTTAAAGTTGCCAAAAGAGGAAGAGACCAAAAGCGTCCTACAAACTATTTATGAGTTCACTTGCAGGAGACTACACTTCTAGGTTTGTAAAATTTTTATCTCATTCAAAATCATTGATAAGTTTTCTCACAATTCAGCAATTCCAGAAACATTGACATTTTGAAGATTCAAATAATTGTTGACCCGTTTTACTTTATTGTGGCATTGTTTTGTTTTTCCTCCCCCTGAAAATTTGAATAGGTTGCTGATCAGTCTTTTTTCATGGCAATGGTGTTTCAAGTTTTGCTGTCATTGTAACATCTCGAGCCCAAAAATTAGACTCAAAATGATATAATTTATTTTTTAAAAAAAATAATAAAAATGTAGTATTTAATTTTAATTAATTTTTTTTAAATTTTTTTAGATATATGTATTTTAGATGAATTTGAAAACTATTTTAGAAAACAGAGCGAAACTGGAAATAAAGAGGAGATATATTTGAAAGAAAAATTTGAAAATAGAGTTCAAATCGCAAAAAAAGAAAGTATATGCCTCGTAGCACGACCATGTCAATAGCACAACGAGTTAAGACATGCAGTATGGCAGACACATTGACACGGACAATCTGCATGTCAGGGCAATCGAACGGCCCGTGTATACTCTCGCGCACACGGACTAGCCAGATCATATCCTGCCTAGATTTCAAATGAACGGCTCTGATTGCTCACGTGACGGATCCAACGGTCTCACGATCGACGGCCCCGATTTATAGAGTTGATCAATCGAATGGTTTAGAATTGTTTATCAAATAGGTGCGATCGACAGCCTCCATTGCGCCACGTGGACCCACACGGATGACCCTGATCGAAGGAGAGGTATTTAAACATCGTTTCTACTGAAACCCTAACCCTATCCAACACACTTTGTTGGAGAAGAAGAGGAAGGGCGGCCAGAGGAGAAGCCAAACCATCGGAGGATGTCGACACCGTCACACTAGAGACCCAAAACATACCGGTGAACACGATTTTTCTTCCCGTTCTCCCTATCTTCTTAACCTAGGTCGTTTAAACTAACCCTAATGTAGGAAAAATCAAGGAGGACCGCGACCCGTGAGAAAGAGGTCGCAGAGCACGGTTGCGCTGTTGCACCAGAAATTAGAAAATGCTCTAGTAAGCCGTATTTTCTTCCTGTTCTTCTTGTTTTTCTTCCTGTTAGCCGCCTAACACCTTTTCGATGCAGGGTGACTAAAAAAAGTTGCAAATAGCGAGGGAAGGATGATAGAGCTCGACTAAGCCGCTGCACCGGAAGGGCAAAACCACTGGTAAGCACCTGCTTTTTCTCTCCTTTCGTCGAGAAACACCCCCTAGCCATGATTTAAATAGATTTTCACCGAGAACCGACCGAAACCGGCCTGACCGAGAGGAAGAGCTGCCGGAAAAGGAGGACCAGGCGGCGGAGCACGGCGCCAGAACCCCAACCTGACCTTCCGGTGGGATTTTGTCTTTTTCACCATTCCTCATTTATTTTCACGTTATTTTGACGTGCGTTTCAATTTTATAAGGAAAATTAAAAAAATTTAGAATTGGAAACTATTGAGAAACGCGGTGTCCTGAACATCAGCCTAAAGTAAGAATTTCTCACCATTTTTTTCTGTTACGGTTAAATTAACGCTAAATAAATACTAAATAAAAATTTTAGATAATTGGCGACCCTTGATTAGTTAAGTATAGGTTGCTGATGGAGACAGTAACCGGTCAGTTTATATTTGTTATTAGTTTAATCGTGTTGGTTATTTCTTTAGTCACTTTATCGTGCTTATCTATTTACTGTTCTATTTATTCATTTTAAATATATGGTTAGCATGACATGGTTTCTTAATCTATATTTTTCGTTGCTCTATTGTGTGCATAACATGTTTCAGTCAGGATAATGCATATTTATTTTACTCACGTATTCTGATATATGAATTTTGTACTCTTGTGTTAAAATACGGATATACGTGTCGTTTAAGATTAAATAATAAATAAAAGAAAAGATATGCGTGAATTAATGAGGTTGAATAAAAGGGTTTACCAGGTGTCATAGGAAATAGTATACGGACTTGGTACATAAGGTGAGCCCTACCATGGACGTTATCCTCAGTCGTACGGGATTGGGAAGTCCTATTCCGGACGGGATTGCGAATTGATTTAATTACATTCATACCGGATGGAGTATTGAGACGGGTGTGTGTTGTGGCGCCCATTACCAGACATGGTATGAGTACGGTTGTTTGATTATAAAGAAAATATTCGTGTCCATGTGTAGACAAGATTCATATGGACCCCTAACGACACCGGTATGAAAAAGTAAAACGAAAATGTGGAGACGATCATGGTAAGAAATTCAGCTTGGGAAAGGTGAAGAGTCAAACGTTGTATATCTATTGAAATGTATACTGTTAGATTGCGATTCTGATTTTTATTTTAATGAATAATATTTGAGAAGTTACAGGTTAGTCGATAAAATATTAACGTTTTTAGTGAAATGAATAATGAATGCACTAGCATTCGGATTTTATTAGAATGAGCACTATTAACTGTTTTATATTTTCTACAATTTTTTGATTTTTTGTATCAGTGGTAAGACGTTGATATTATTACTGAGTTAGTGTAGTTCACCAATTTTTTATTAACAATTTTAGATAAAGACGATCAAAACCTATATTCTGAATAGTAAGAGACTAGTTAAAAAATTATCTCTTCCGTTTTGCCAGTTTCGAATAGAGGGTAATTATAATTTTTTATTTCTATGTCTTTTTCCATTTAAATTTTAAAAACATTCTTATAACTCTATTATACATTTTTGGTAACGTGTAAAGAATGTAACTTAAAAATATTAAGTGTTTTCGCTATAATAATAAACTTCAGCATTGTCATTTTATTAGTATTGCGTTATACGCTTGAAATCCTTGATAGGTAGTGATGAGTATGTAAATATTATTTTATGTATATACATAATCATATGCAAAATAATTTTCATTTGTTAAAATTTGATAGATTAGCATACGGAGCCATTTAAGATTTGAAGTAATTTTTTTTTTTGATTATGGACCTAACAATACTAAAATTGTATGATCTGTTGATAAACTAAACCATTACAATGATTATGTAAATTTGTTTTTAATTAAACCCTAAATTTGCCAAAAATAAGTTGCCTAAATGTTAGGCTTTAAGTGTTTGGATTTCAATAAAAAAAAAGGAAAGCAAAAACAATTTAAGCATGGGAATGGCTAAAGCTTGCCGTTGAAACAAGAGCCCATAATAACACATTTTGTCCATTCACAACTTGATTAAAAATATAAAGCTTTTAGTAAGTGGAAACAATACAAAAGTCTAATAACTTTTCTTTTTCTTTAGAAAAAAGAAAATTTTTTTTGGGTACTAATAACATATAATAATAGTACTTATGTTAATAATAATAATAACATATTGATTAACTAAATTTAAAGTTTAAATGAATTTATTATATATTTTTTTAAATAAAAATAATATTTTAAAATGAATATATTTTTATAATTTAGATAGTTACCATAGATATAAAAATTTTATTTAATATTTTGAATTTTCAAATAAAAAGATAATAACATATTTAATTATATTTTCAATTAAAAATAAATACGACTTTTGAGTTCTTTTTAACACAACTTCTTATATAAGCTAACACCACGGGCTAAAATTGAAATAATTTTTAAATAATTGGTTTATGTTAATTTCACAGTTTTGTTCGAGTTTAATTTTTATTAATAGTATTTTGAACGATTTTTTGAAACATATTAAATTGATGTAAAGAAGATATTGAGAAAATTGCAAAAAAGAAGTATAGATAGATGAAAATTAACTTCAAAATAGACTTGTGGAAACAAAAATTAACTCATTGTAAAACCAAAACATATTTTGTGCACAACAACATAGCAACCTCATGTCTGAAAACATAAATGATCCGGCCCAGTCACGTTTATTAATTATTCTGGTTCTCCCTGCTCTAAGAGCCGTCAATTTTAAGATCTCAATCCCTCCCGGTCGGATTTTGAACCGGTGAACCCATGCAAGACATCACCTCCAGTCGTATTTTGAACCGGTGAACCGGTCGGATTTTGAACCGGTGAGCTCCCACCCATCAGTCGCACTGTAAATGCAATCAGTTCTGTAAATGTCCAGTCCAGAGGGTGAAACCAAGATCTCCTGCGAGGACGAATCCTTTAGTCGAACAATCGAAGTCATCACTCTCCCATGTTCTTTTTAGTTCTTCATTATTGTCTTCCTTGTCTCTCTGAGGTCGAGTCATCTCGTCTAAAATTTCCATACCAGAGCGTAACAATCAATCAGGTTAGTTTATGATGATGAACCATCCGTTTTTTTATTTATTTATTGCTTCTTTCAATGGGGATTGAAGTTGAACCGAAACGATAAGTTCATAGAGGAGCACTAGTTGCCATTATACCTAATTGGCTCTTGGGACTAGTGAGTTAGTTAAACTTTAGTCGTAATTGTTTAAGAATGTAGTTTACTCTCGTCTTCGGTAGATCAAAGAAGTTCTAGATTTATAAAAGGAAACCAAGGTTGAGATATTTTTGGAAAAAAATCAGGTTCGTGAACTCATTTCTATTTAGCAAACTTTAGGTGATTTGTGAAGATAGGAATTAAATTAACAAAACCAGATTAATTTTTAATTTACATAATGTAATTCTAAATTAATTTTGGTATAAAATGAAATGTTATATTGCAATTTTTTTTTTTGAAATACTGTGATGCATTTGCAATTGATCATGTTTTTATATTTAAGTATCTTGGTTGTTCTTCCAAAGGTGGTGGGTGCTAAAGATATTAAAGACTTTAAACCGATCAGTTTGGTGGGAAGTATTTACAAATTGATTTCTAAAGTGCTTGTAAAGAGACTTTCTAGGGTATTGGGTGAAGTGATCGGGGAAAACCAGAATGCATTTGTTGAAGGAAGACAAATTCTTGATGCTGTGATGATTGCTAATGAAGTTGTGGACGATTTGGTGGGGACAGAAAAAAAGAGGGCCTCTTGTGTAAAATTAATATGGAAAAGGTTTATGATCATGGTTGATGTTTGCTGGGATTTTGTGAATTATATGCTTATGAGGATGGGGTTTGGGTGCAAATGGCGAAATTGGATCATGAAATGTATTTCCACCACTTCTTTTGTGGTTATGGTTAATGGGGGTCCTTCAACTTTTTCTAAAGCTTCTAGACACCTCTGCTAAGGGGATCCTTTGTCACCCTTACTATTCCTTACCGTTATGGAGGCTTTTAGTAGATTGATGGAAAGGACGTGGGAGTTGGATTTATTGAAGGGTGTGGAGGTGGGGAGGGTAACCGGAATATGTGATACAGGACATATTCCGCTTCCTCACTCACTGACACGCTACACTCGGTCTTTCGACAGCAGCGAGCGGAAATGGCTAACGATTAATGCAGATATTTCCTGGAAGATGCCAATAAGATACTTAACAAGGAAGAGTGAGGGCGGCGTTAAAGCCTTTTTTCCATATTCTCCGCCCCCCTGAGAGCATCAATAAATCAGACGCACGATCATTG